CTGTTGCCCTGGCTGAAGTGCTGTGGTGTCAGCCTAGCTCACAGCAACCTCAAACTCCTTAGCTCAAGCAATCCTTCTGCCTCAGCCTCCCAAGTAGCTGGGACTACAGGCATGCACCACCATGCCCGGCTAATTTTTCTGTATATTTTTAGTTGTCCAGCCAATTTCTTTCTATTTTTAATAGAGATGGGGTCTCGCTCAGACTGGTCTCGAACTGAGCTCAAACGATCCTCCCGCCTCAGCTTCCCAGAGTGCTAGGATTACAGGCGTGAGCCACCGCGCCCGGCCAGGGAACCTGCTTTGAATTGGGAGCAAACTCCTCATAAGAATAAATGTCTCGGGAAGGGGAAGGTTTTTTCCTTCCACTTTCCTTCGATTTCTTGCTATCCTTTACTTTTTGCACCTCTGAAAGTCCCCTTTCATGGGGTCACTTAGCAGTAATTTTAGAGATGCGTTAGGGAGATACGCCATTCTGTGACTGGTTGGGGCACCTGTCACAATGATCTGTTGTGTTCAGAGGGGCTCACTTCATCAGTTACCAGAGCTCTAATTCACATCCAAAGCCAAGGCTTGCCTGCCGAAAGACAGCTAAAATAACGACGAGAATTTCCCACGTGACCCTCCTGCACATGCTTCCTGGCCACCTTGAGCTTTATTGTGTCCTAAGTTCAGGCAAGGTCCCCATTGGCCCATTTTCTGCCTGGACTTTGTAGGAGTAGGATGAGGAGGGAAGTCTGATAATTCCATTTGATTCTCATTACTTTGTAGCTATGGAGGGCCTGGGCTTTCTGGATGCTCTCAATTCAGCCCCTGTTCCAGGCATCAAAATTAAGAAGAAGAAGAAAGTGCTCTCACCTACAGCTGCCAAGGTATGGGCCCTGAGAAATAGATTTCAGTGACAGGGTACAAAAGGTAAAGTAGAAGGAAGGACACAGTGTCTAGGAGTTGAGGAAGTTTTGTCTCGGATGTAGACCGGTCAGAGTGGGACTGTGTTAGAGATGGAGTCTTTCTTTATAGGAATCATTGGGGGATCTTGCCCAGGACCCTGGACTAATTGCCTTGCCCCTGGCTTTCATGTCAGTTCATTAACTTCCTTTTCTTTCATAATAGCCAAGCCCCTTTGAAGGGAAAACAAGCACAGAACCAAGCACAGCCAAACCTTCTTCCCCAGAACCGGCACCTCCTTCTGAGGCTATGGACACAGACCGCCCAGGGACCCCAGTGCCCCCTGTTGAAGTCCCAGAGCTCATGGATGCAGGTAATTTAGAAACTGGTTCGGTTTTGGGGGTTTTCTGAAAGGAAGGATCTGGGTCTGAAACCTCTTCTGCTTCCAGCCTCTTTGGAATCAGGGGCTCTGGATGCAAAGCCAGTGGAGAGTCCTGGAGATCCCAACCAACTGACCCGGAAGGGCAGGAAGAGGAAGACTGTGACGTGGCCCGAGGAGGGCAAACTGAGAGAGTATTTCTATTTTGAACTGGATGAAACTGAACGAGGTAAGAGGTCGTTTCCTATATGATAGGCATGTACAGGAGACTGTAAAAGGACTTGGTTGTGCTGACGTTTTCCCGTGCTTTCTGCTGCTGATAGTAAATGTGAATAAGATCAAGGACTTTGGTGAGGCGGCCAAGCGAGAGATACTGTCAGACCGGCATGCATTTGAGACAGCCCGGCGTCTGAGCCATGACAACATGGAGGAGAAGGTGCCCTGGGTGTGTCCCCGGCCCCTGGTTCTACCCTCACCCCTTGTCACCCCTGGAAGCAACAGCCAGGAGCGATATATCCAGGCTGAGCGGGAGAAAGGAATCCTTCAGGAGCTCTTCCTAAACAAGGAGAGGTGAGCAGAATGGGGTGCATGCCCTGGGATGTCTCAGAGTGCTTGTGCTCTTGAGAGGAACATGAGCTGGGGGAATTAAGAAAGGTTGGAGGTTAGAAAGAACTTCGAGGGCCTGAATAAATAATGTGCCTCTCATTCTTCTTCTCTTTTCCATCACCTGTGACGTCCCTGATAGTCCTCACGAGCCTGACCCAGAGCCCTATGAGCCCATACCCCCTAAGCTCATCCCGCTGGACGAGGTGAGTGAAACGTTACATGACGATGGAGGTGGTGATGCTCATCGATTTCAGTGCATCTTTCGCGTGAGAATGTCTCCATTCTTTTAGTTAGTCCTGACTTTTCTCCTGTTCCTTCAGGAGTGTTCCATGGATGAGACCCCATATGTTGAGACGCTGGAACCTGGGGGGTCAGGTGGCTCACCTGATGGGGCAGGAGGCTCCAAGTTACCTCCGGTTCTGGCCAATCTTATGGGAAGCATGGGTGCTGGGAAGAGCCCCCAGGGCCCTGGAGGAGGAGGCATTAACGTCCAGGAGATCCTTACCTCCATAATGGTATGAGCCCTCCTTGCCTCCTGTGTTCTTCCCTGGTTCTGTCTCCCGTTGTCTCTGCCCTGGTTCTCCACATCTCCCCACTTACCTCCTGATGTTTGGCTCTCCCTCTCTACAGTTGGTACCCTTGCTCTCTGTTGACTTCGCCCTCTTACATCCTTACAGGGTAGCCCAAACAGTCATCCCTCAGAGGAACTACTGAAACAACCAGACTATTCAGACAAGATCAAGCAGATGCTGGGTAATCTTCAGGGCCAGCCCCAGGGCCTGGGGGAGGAAGCCTACAGTGGAGTTGGGGGAAGCAGGGTTTCCCAGACACTGAAGAGCACAGGGCTGTTGCCACTGGGCAAGAAATGGGAGGGGAAGACTGGACAGAGAGAGCGGTGCTTTGCCAGGTTGGTCTGAGTGGGTCAATTGGGCACACCTGCGTGGAAAGTCATGCCATCCTCTCGAGTCCTCTTGCTGACTGTGTCATTCCTGTTGTCATTAACAGTGCCACATGGACTCCTAGGCCCTGGTCCAATAGCCAATGGTTTCCCACCAGGAGGCCCTGGGGGACCCAAGGCCATGCAGCACTTCCCTCCTGGACCTGGGGGACCTATGCCAGGTAAGCGGGTAGTGAGAGGTTGGAATGGGCTTGTCTGCTTCATTTCAGCCTGGTGAAAGTATAGGATCAACCAAAAGCTGGTAGTTTCGGCTGGGAGATGGCTGTTCCTGAGTGTAACAGGGAGCTGATACTGTCTCTCTCTCTCTCTCTCTCTCTTTCCCTAACAGGTCCTCATGGAGGCCCTAGCGGGCCTGTGGGTCCACGTCTCCTAGGTCCCCCACCACCTCCCCGTGGTGGTGATCCCTTCTGGGATGGCCCGGGTGACCCTATGCGGGGCGGCCCAATGCGGGGGGGTCCAGGACCTGGTCCTGGACCATACCATAGAGGCCGAGGTGGCCGAGGAGGAAATGAGCCCCTTCCACCTCCTCCATTTCGAGGGGCCAGAGGAGGTCGCTCTGGAGGAGGACCTTCAAATGGACGAGGGGGCCCTGGTGGCATGGTTGGAGGTGGTGGGCATCGTCACGAAGGCCCTGGTGGGGGCATGGGCAGTGGCAGCGGACATCGCCCCCATGAAGGCCCTGGTGGTAGCATGGGTGGCGGTGGAGGACATCGTCCCCATGAAGGCCCTGGCGGCGGCATGAGTGGCAGCAGTGGCCATCGTCCCCATGAAGGCCCTGGCAGTGGCATGGGTGGTGGCAGTGGCCATCGTCCCCATGAAGGCCCTGGCGGAGGAATGGGTGCTGGTGGGGGACATCGCCCCCATGAAGGCCCTGGTGGGAGCATGGGTGGAAGTGGTGGACATCGCCCCCATGAAGGCCCTGGACATGGGGGACCCCATGGGCACCGGCCTCATGATGTCCCGGGTCACCGAGGCCACGACCATCGAGGGCCACCTCCTCATGAGCACCGTGGCCATGATGGCCCTGGCCACGGGGGAGGGGGCCACCGAGGGCACGATGGAGGCCACAGCCATGGAGGAGGTGAGGATGCTTCTTGCTCCCCATGAGACTTTCGTGTCCCATACAAGATTTGGGGAAGTGGGGGAGAGTCACCACTGTGGATATGCCAGGCAGAACTTGAGGTCTCCCTGTCTCCTCGGTGTCCCAGTATGCATGGCAATTCGTGCCCTCTGCCCTTCCCCCAAAGCCCTGAGACACTGTCTCTCTGAAAGTTCTCAGGATGCAGTGGGTTGGGGTGGCGAGGGTGGCGTTGCCTTGGTTAGTCGTTGCTTGTCTAACCATTCTGCCATCGTTTCCACAGACATGTCAAACCGCCCCGTCTGCCGACATTTCATGATGAAGGGCAACTGCCGCTATGAAAACAACTGTGCCTTCTACCACCCGGGTGTCAACGGGCCCCCCCTGCCATAGGGACCCCCTGTGGACTGCAGCCTTGCTCCTTCCACCTTGTTATGGCTTCTGTGAGGCCCATTTTGCCCTTCCCCAGCTGATGAGGAGCCGGCCCCTCAGTTCCCACCTGCTTGGGTTCCTGGGGTTGTCTGATCACTGGTGCGCATTGATGTACATATTTTCCTCCAGTCTGGGGAGGAGAGAGACTGGACACATTCTGTACCCGGGACTGCTGAAGAGGAGACCCAGTTGGCTTCACTTTTTGAGGAGATTCACCCTATACTCCAAATCCCTTTCCAGTATTACCCTTACGCCTGAGAACCTAAAGCTGGTCATCCCGGAGAACCCCTCTGCTCCTGTCGTGGGTCCTGCACGTGCACACACAGCCCCGACACAGGCAGCTGCAGTTAGGAGATTATCCCAGCCACGGCCGTTACTCCACACAGGGTGGGGAGATGGCGAAGGGCACTGTATGTGCCCGTGCGCCGCGAGGGCTCAGTCAGGCTGGGACACACGTCATCTCTACTCCTCCCCTGCCACGGGCTCCGCATTCCGAGTCCTTTTTTAAGGAGGACTTTGCATCCTTCTGTGAACACCCAAGTCTGCAGCACGGGTCTGCTACAGTCGATGATGGCAAATTCGTGTTTGCATCCAGCGAAAGTTTGAGCTGGCGTAAGTGAGGCCTGCGGTGTCGGCCCACCCTTGCCAACTACAGCCACTCTGGAAACTTCATAAAATACTTCAGTGAGACCAGCTGCTCATCAACTTGTGCCCAGCACACTGGGCCTGACAGTCACACTACATGCACTGCCTTTGGGAGTTCGCTTGCTCCTTGCTCCCACATGGAACCTTATCAGTGTGAGGCTTCTAGAAACCTTGCTCTGTCAGCCACTTCCGAATCCCCACCAGGTGTCTTCCTGGTGGGTTCAACAAGATGATTTTGCCCCTTCCCAGTCCTCTCCTTCACCTGTCTTGGCATCAGTTGTTTTCTATGAAAACAGTGGATTGGTTGGGTTTTGTGCAGGGTCTTGGGTTATCGCCACAATGGATTTGAGGATGAGTATTTTCTTTTTCTTTTGGTTTTTGTATATTTTGTACATTAATAATAAACAGTGGAAAGAGAAGCAGCTTATTTAACCCCTGATGTGTTTAGGCTGTTTTTAAAAGAAAAAAAAAATCTGTTTTAGATACTTTAGTACAATCCTTTGTGGGGTCTTTTTTCATTTCCTATGGAGCTGACGCTTGTTCTGCTTTCAAGTCAGAATTGGTATTAAGTACTGGTGAAAGAATACTTTGGAAAGTACATGAAACACTAGGCTACAAAGATCCCAATGGATCAACGTTCTGGCAGCAGTGGGACCTTGGGAAGACAGAACTCTTCCCAGGGCGTGGGAGCCACAGACTTGGTGGGGGCGTATTAGTTCTAGCTGAACCTGCCGTCCCTGCGAAGCTATTTGGGGAAGGAATCTGAGTGGAGAGTGTGTGCAAGGATGATCCAACAGCAGTTTCTAGGGAAGGAGGAAACACAGGATGCTCACTGTTGATTTTAAGAGCAGTTTCAGTGGAGAAAGAGACAAGGGAAAGTGTAGACTGCTCTTCCCAAAAAAGTGGCTCTGCAGAGGCGAGGAAATTAGGCCTGCTACTGGGAAATGAAGGGTAAGATTAATTTTAGTTGTTAAGAATAGATAGTGAGGGCCTAGCCAAAAGAATAAAATTCTTGGGAAGGCAGGAGAACAGAACATAAAAGGATAAAATAGAGGAAGTTCTGCTATTTTTGAAACCAAAAATTAGGAGTATGTTATACTGTAGAGGTGTGGGGGGCAGAGACAGGAAGATGGGGATATTGGGATGTAGGTTGAGAACGGTTTTCAAATATTTTAGTGTTTCATCACAATCATGTAAAAAGCTTATTAGGGCCAGGCGCGGTGGCTCACGCCTGTAATCCTAGCACTCTGGGAGGCCGAGGCGGGAGGATTGCTGGAGCTCAGGAGTTGAAGACAAGTCTGAGCAAGAGTGAGACCCCATCTCTACTAAAAACAGAAAAATTAGCCGGGCATGGTTGCAGGCACCTGTAATCCTAGCTGCTCGGGAGGCTGAGGCAGGAGGATCACTTGAGCCAGGAGTTTGAAGTTGCTGTGAGCTAGGCTGACACCACAGCACTCTAGCCAACAAAGCGAGACTCAAAAATAAATAAATAAATAAATGCATAGATAGATAAAAAGCTTATTAGAAGGCAGATTGGGAATGGTGTCCAGCAAAGTTTCCGATTCAGTAGGTCTGGGATGGATCCCAGGATTTTGCATTCCTAACAAATGTCCAGGTGTTGCAGGTACTGCTGATCTGGAAAACAGAATACTGCCCTAGAACTGTGGTCCCTACCCCCTGGGCTGCACAGCAGGAGGTGAGCGGTGGGCTAGCCAGCAAAGCTGCATCTGTATTTGCAGTGCTCCCCGTCGCTGGAATCACTCCTGGGCTCCCGTTAGATCAGCGGGGGCATTAGGTTCTCACAGCGGCACAAACCCTACTGTAAACTGCGCCTGGCGTGCGAGGGTCTAGGTTGCGCGCTCCTTATGGTAATCGAATGCCGGGTGATCTGAGGTGGAGCTGAGGCGGTGACGCTAGCGCTGGGGAGCGGCTGCAAACACAGATTATCAGTAGCAGAGACGTTTGTGTAATTACTTCATTATATATTACGATGTAATAATAGAAATAAAGTGCACAATAAATGTAAGGCGCTTGAATCGTCCTGAAACCATCCGCCCTCCCCCAAGTCTGTGGAAAAATTGTCTGCCATGAAACCGGTCCCTGGTGCCAAAAAGGGTGGGGACCGCTGCCCTAGAACTGCGGTCCCCAACCCCCAGGCCAAGGACCACCAGGAACTGGGCCACAGGAGGCGAGCGGTGGGCGGGCGAGTGAGCGAGCGAAGCCCCTACCTGCACCCACAGCGCCCCCATGGCTCGCATCACGGCCCGAGCTCGCCCCCTTCTCCCCCCCACCCCGTCACATCAGCGGGGGCATCAGACCCCCGTGGGAGCCGGACCCCCACTGCGAACCGCGCAGTGAAGGTTCCAGGTTGCGCGCTCCTCGTGAGAATCTAATGCCTGATGATCCCACGTGGAGCCGGGGCGGCCACGGCCCGTCCGTGGGAAAACCGTCTTACACGACACAAGTTCTTGGTGTCAGAAAGGTTGGGGACCGCTGCCCTGGAACACAAGTGTCTTGGCTGTTATTTCCAGCATCGGCCACATGAGGGCAACTCTTCACATCTCACAGGCCTGGTTGCGTTTAATAAGTCGAGGGCCCGGCTCTGCCTTCCCTTGGCCCTGTCTTGCGGGGCAGGAGCGGGGCTGCGGTGTTCAGGTCGGCCTGTTGTTGCTCTGTGCCCTGGGAGACCTGAGAAGTCGACATCATCTAAGAACCAAGCTAAGAGGCGAAATACCAAAGAAATACACAGCTCAGGTGAAAAAAATGAACACATTACAACTCTGTTCTTTTCCTTCCGGTTCCAGCTACTGCCTGCTTCTCGCCCTCTCCCCTTGATCTCCTGCAGCAGGCCACACGAACTGCAAAGTGAGCTTACGGTTTTTTCTATATTTTAAAAATGAGTTCAACCATTTTCTTTCAAATTCTTCCTGAAAATCCAAAGGAAGCAGTTACTTTTTACTTACGTGTATTACACAAAGAAAAGATTTTCTTTTCTTTTTTGGGGGGCACAGGGGCAGACAGGCTGAGCACCTCATCCGTTTCACCACACCCACTGACCTGCTCCCACTGCTTCGCCAAGCCCTGCAGGCACCTTTCCCTCGTGTTTCGGTCTGTCCTTCCCTGCTGCTTCCGTTTTTCCTTCCAAAATACCCTGCGACGTTAGAGGCTCTCTTCCTGTCAACCCTTCCCCAGGCACGGGATCTGTCTCCAGTTCTGAACTGTCATCATTCTCTTTTTCTTGTTCCTGGTACTGGGCAGCAAACCTAGTGTTGCAAAATCACGAAATCCCACAATCTTGGTCCCGTACAAATTAACAATGGCATTGGCTCGACACTGAGTCTACATCCTTCCTTTCTTAGAAGAAGAAGATAATCTCCTTCTTTCCAAAGTAATATTGAACTGTCCTTCTGGCATCTCCTGTCTCCCTCCCTACCCACCATTTGCCCAGCAGCCAGAGCAGTTATGTACAAATGAAAACTAGATCAACCGATATTCCTGCTTCAACAGCACCAATGGCCTCCCATTGCCCCTAGAGTCACATCCCAACTTCCTATCAAGACATATTGTAAGGCCCCAAGTGTAATGGCCTCTGCTCAAACTCTTAAGCTCAAGTCACATTCCTTGACCATGTCCAGTTCTTTCCAGTGTCTGGGCCTTTGCACATTCTGGTCCCTGTCCTGAAAGCTCTTCTTTCCTACTCATCTGGGTGGTTCCTTCTCCAACTTCAGGCCTTGGCTTTATTTAATGTTAGTTCCTCTCAGAAGCCTTCCCTAATCACTCAAATTAAAAGGTGACCCTCCCCTTAGCACCACATCTGTACCTTTCAACACTCCCCAAAGGCACCACTGAGCTCCTATCTTTGCACTTTTTTTTTTTTTTAAAGGAGATGGTCTTGCTGTCACCCAGGCTAGAGTGCAGGGGCATCATCATAGCTCTCTACAACCTCAAACTCCTGGGCTCAAGTGATCCTCCCACCTCAGCCTCCCAAAGTGCTGGGATTACAGGCGTGAGCCACCGCGCCTCACCTATTTTTGCACTAACAAACTCCTAGGTGCTGCTCTTGCTGCTGCTCCGAAGCACTTTTGAGAACCAGTTCAAGTGTTTTGGTTGTTGCCTTCAGCCCTGGCCACACAAGGGGAACTTCTTATGCTCTTGGGGCATCTTTGAGTTCCCTATGGCCACAGGGCTCTTTCCTGGCTTCTAACTTTCTCACTGTAAGTTTCCCCTAACATGCCTCTTATGCATTCCCAGCACAGTCCTATTCTGGCTATCATGCCCCTGTAGGATGGATTCTTTGGCCACCTTGGCCACGTTTTACAGATTTGGGAGGAAAATCCAAAGACACTGGAGTCAAATAAACAAGGGCCATGACTGTCCCAGTTCTACCTCCCTGCAGGCGGCACCCTTGCGCAGGCCAGTGTTCTCTGGAGCTCCCTCATTAGGAAGGGGTGGAGAAGAATCACCACTTTTAAAAAACACTCCTGTGGTGCTCATTTTGTACCATGTTTGTGCATAACTTGCAGGCAATAAAGGTTCAGTTTTAAAAATTTCTGTCAGTGAAATCCCCATGTACTACCATGTAAATGTGTTATTTTTTTCCTTTTTTTGTTTCATTACTATGCTGCTTTTTGGAGAGGCCCATATTTAGATGGATTTTTTTTTTTTTTTTGAGACAGGGTTTTGCTCTGTCGCCCCTGGGTAGAGTGCCGTGGTGTCATCCTAGTTCACAGCAACCTCAAAACTCCTGGGCTCAAGCCATCCTCCTGTCTCACCCTTCCGAGTAGCTGGGACTACAGGCAAGCGCCACCACGCCCGGCTAATTTTTTCCATTTTTAGTAGTGCAGGGGCGGGGGGGAGGCGTGTGTCTCACTCTCGCTCAGGCTGGTCTTGAACTCCTCAGCTCAAGCGATCCTCCCGCCTGGGCCTCCCAGAGTGCTAGGATTACAGGCCTGAGCCACCATTACATAGCATGTATGTTGAAATAATGAAATTAGTGTCCATGGATGAAAGTTATTTTGGAGCATTTGAAGTACCTGTAGTAAAATTAATGATCAAAAACTTGAAATGCAAGTCTTGGTGTTCACTTTATAAATAACGTTCCTATATAGTCTATGTATTATCCCATGTAGACTAGTGAACTGAAAATTTAAAGTGTAAAGTGTGATATGAAATACATATAACAAAAGAATTTAAATCACTTTACAAATAATTACAAATCTAATCTCTTAATAACCCCACGAGGTAGGTACTTTTATCACCTTCATTCTACATGAGTGTACAGGTAGCAAGAGGCTAAGTGGCTTGTCCAAGGCCACACCATTTGTAGGCGGACTTGAAGCCTGGCTCCCCACTATCCTTTGATAGATCTACTTCACAGAATTGTGGAAATTACTTTGCATTTAATATACTTAGTCAGCTACTTGGCACAAAAC